TGTGCATTCATTTGTCTGCATATATTTCTATGTACGTATGCCAGTGAGTGTGTATATTGTTAGTGTGTGAAGCACATGTGAATACAGTGTTTAAATGCTGCCAGATTGCTCTGTTTCCCAGCAGGGCAGTGCCCACCGTCAGTGCCAGCTTGCTGCCTACTTGGCCGACTGAAAGTCATTATTTAGAGAAAGGTCAACCGCCCGCATGCTGGAGAAACTTGGGGAGGAGAATATCACCCACTGACCTAGAACTGCAGACTAAATATTGGTTACCCTCACTTGTGCCATTCGGCATACCATGACCGGCTCAAACATAGTTGGAAGGGCACAAAATGGTGACCACGAGATGGCCGCAGATGATAGGCGCGACATTAAGAGGCTGAGAACAGCAAGCTCATTGTGGCTTTTGCTTCTTAGTTTAGACTTGTCTGGTAGAGCAATAACCCTCGGCTGGTCCTCAGATGTATTACATCACCATCATAACCCAACAGTAAAGAACAGTCTTCACTGAACGGTGGCTTCAATTCAAGTCCCCAAAGCATGTGTGCTGACTTAGTAATTAGCTCCGTGGTTTCCACAAAAGTCGGTGAAGAACCAGCACAGCATGGTCAGCGGAGATTCATGGCAGTGCATCTTTGACTTATCCGACTTTTTAGTTGTTTGCAGTGACTTCAGGCGAATGCTCAGGTCACAACTGAAAGAAGAGAGGCCAAAAACTGGAGCGAACGCCACAGTACTGCAGTGAAAGAGATTGTTATTGATCCCATCAGATTATTCTTAATTTAGGGGACGGGAACTTCGTCAGCACAAATTAGCTGGTTTGCTTCATGCACAGGTAAGCACCAAAGTAAAAATCACAAACACACACACACGCACAAACATTCCAGTCCCACCATGGAATGCCATTTCATAGTTGAGGGTGTGGTGGTTACTGCGTCCATTGACCAATCAACACCAAGCTTTGATAAGAGCCAGAAGCAGAGGCTGGAGCATGTGTGTGTCCACTCCCCACACACACACACACACACACACACACACTGATGCTTACACACACACAGTGGCAGGATCTCAGTGTGCGCTCTGTGGTAGGTTGGCACGCTGAGGGGAAATGGGAGCTGTGAAAACTCCACTGGAGAGATGCTGCTGGCAAACTGACAGTGTGTGTGTGTGAGTGTGTGTTGGAGCAGGAGGTGGAGGTCGGAGAGAGACTGGTGAGGAGAGGCAGGGAGGAGGCAAGGGAGAGCGAGATGGGGCAGAATAGAAGGTGGAGTGAGGCAAGGGTGGGAATAAGAAATGGAGGAAGTTAACACAAAGGAGAACAAAGGAAGGTAGAGGGATGGGAAGAAAGAACGAGAGACGTCGGAAAGAGAAACAAAGCTGATGTTAAGAGGAAGAGTTGAGGAGGGAAATAAGAAAGAAAGACCTCCGTCTTGTGCCAGATGAGGCTTTAGAAAGTATAGAAGGTGTTGCTCGTAAAAATAACTTGCCAAAACTTCCTCAAAGTGCCATTAGAGAGGGAAAAGAAAAATAGGGAGTTAAAATCAGAATTAGTTTGTGTTAAGTTGGCTCAGGCAGCTTGCCGCTTCCAGCAGTGAACTCGCTCAACTGCAAACACGCACATCAACACTCAGTTTGACATACAGAAAACATATGTCATCATACATATAACACAAAAAAAATTGTCCTGATTGCAGCTCAACCAATAGAAGGCACCCTTTTAGAGTTTACAGGCCTCAATTTCCCCTCGTTTCACTGCAGTTGGGGCAACAGTTTGGAATTTGCAGACTAAAAATCAACACTCCAGGGTGTGTGTGTGTGTGTGTGTGTGGGTATATATCCAGTCCCTGTTGGGCAGGTGTGAATTGGACCCCGGAGAGAAAAGCCGTCCCTGTTTTCCAATCCATTTTACCCAACCTCGTTAAGCCTGTTAAGCCTCCCCCCAAACCCTCCACTCAAATTATATGCAAATGAGGTCTCAAGTGGCTTCCCAAGGAGGACATTACGGAATTGACTGGCCTGAGGTAATCTGTGAGGCTGCCTGTGAGTGCATGTGTGTGTGTGTGTGTGTGTATGTTAAGTGAACAGTTGAGGCGACCACAGTTTTTTTTCTCGTTAACCTTTCCAAATGCTCTGTTTACAATAGTGAAGAAAACGGGGGCTTTCAAAGAGATTCATTTTGTACTTATGACAGGTGGACTCTAGCTCTGACTGTTGCTCTCACTCTTCACTTCTGGAGGTGGTGGAAACGAACTGGATTTAAAGTAACTGTGTTAGCAATAAAAAGAGTAAATGGGGACTAACTCTACAGGTTAAAAAAGGACCACACTGGTGATTTTTCCACCATTATCCATTTGGACTTTCTAGGCTGCCAAGTGCCTTCAAAGTACAAATATAAAACTACATCCTGAAGTTATTTCATCATGAAGCCTTTGACTTGTGCCCCATTTCCTTCGATCTGTGTCGTGTTCTTCTTCTTCACGTAAGAGCGACTTTCTACATTTGTTTTCAGTAACCTCCACAGAGTCGAGAGAGAGTATTTTGTTCGGTACATGTGGCTTGAGCGAGCGCGATAAAGGGAGCAGTGCAGTAGAAGCTGAAAAAGATTTTCCACTCAAGATAAGGCGAGAGGCATGTCCCTTACTCGAACACCACATATCTTGTGGTCTTGTACTCTGGTGTGGTGGGACTACTATTGGTGGAGAATACTGTACTTCTCCCTCTCTATGGATTTATCCTCATGTAACTGAACATTTCTGCAAAACGCTGAGTCTATAAAGAAAACCAATACTTCACCATGAGACACAACCAAACACCAAAATCAGAAAAGAGTTGTAAGTTTTGATCACCATTAGAATTTTTAAATGTAAGGTGAAGTTTTACTCTCAAAAGCTACGAACACGTCAGCGTCTTGTCCCGTTTTCCAGTCACGATTGACATAAAAAGTCACAGAGTGGCATTTGTTTTTCATTCACAACTAACCAAATGATGAGTTTATGTATTTGTTGAAACAACATGAAGGTCCAATTGCTCTCCCTTAGGCTACAACGAACAGTTGCAAATAAGTGCCGTTTTGAAAATAAAAAGGTGAAACGGGATAAAAACATTGATCATGTCGATATTCAGTATTACTGCTGTAAAGTTAAGGAGATATTCAAGAATTGTTGGAACTTTACTTCGATGCAAATTAGCAGTTTTACTCATAACGTTTAACAAACTTGGCACCTTTGTTGCTATCTGTTGTCCACGTGGACCTCATCCCGCAGTTGTCAACGCCAAATCCCTGCTCAGGGCAATAACACTCATCTCTCTTTCCTGAAAAGTTTCCCATCTGCCGTAACCTTTAGAACTCCAATCTCATCCATTTTAATGTTTCCCATCCTAGACTCCCTAAAATATGTCTGCGCAGAGTCAAAGAAAGATGAAGGCGGGCAGAGAGGGAGAGAAAGAGGGAGAGAAAGAGGGAGGAAAAGAGCAACTCTTGGCCAAAGTCACAGCTGAAACACTGACCTGGATAAATCAGGGAAACATAAACACAGTTTCTGGAGTGAAAAGGGGAGGGGGTGGGGGGGGGGGGCACTGCTACCCCAAATATTCCACCCCGGGGACCCCAGCGTGAGGCAGGGGGGACCCCCTTACCCCCCCCCCCATCACAGCCCGCTCTAATTATTTATTTTCCTAGGGTGTAAATGTCTTCGGGTGATTGCTGCGTAAAAGCCAACAGGTCCTGGGAGGTCACGACAGTCCGGCGGGATGGGAGAGGTATGGGCCTCGAAGTTCACACTCACTCGTACCGCACGCAAGCAACACAATCACACTCGCCAACACAAACATGCGGACACAAATACACAAACATATCTAAAACAGTAAGAAATGCACGGACGTATGCCAATCATATGTTCATATCCATTGCTACCCCCACATGCACACATCAACGCATCAACAAACATGCCCCCCCCCCCCCACTTCCCTCTCCAGCCTGCTGATTGTGTGTGTTGTCTCAGGGTTAGGTCTGTTGTTGATCCCCTGCGGGGCTTTTGGCTGCTCCGTTATCGTGCATAATCACTTCCATACCTTAACGGCATAGGTGTGTGTTTGTGTGTGTGGCTGCGGGGGTGTATACGTGTCAAGATCAGGCTAGAGGTGGCAGCAGCAGCGGCTGTCAGGGGTCTGTCTCTGCCTTAGGAGTGAATATCATTTGAAACTAACTGTCACCAGGTTTCGAAAAAAAAATCACGCTGAAAGTAATTCTTCAAGAGAAAAGTGTGAAGAGGAGTTCACACAAATCGCTGAGGATCCAGCCCAAATTAAGGAACATGTGAAAGACTTTAGTAAGTCTTAACTTTAAAGCGAGCGTTGAAGATTATAAAAAGCTGAACTCGCTGCGTCTTCTCACCTTTTGATTTGACCTGTTTAAAGACTTAATTACTCACTCTAAAGCTGCTTCAGCACTGTTTTATTAACTGCCTCCATTCACTGGGGTCACTGGTGAATTTTAGGGCAGTATCATGTGCACCATATATTATGTGTACAACCAAAGGGATTGCAGTATTGTATTCATTCAGCCAGGAGATATACGGTACTTGTAACCAATCCCAAAAACGACCCCTTGTTTTGCATAAGTATATATGTATAGCCTAATACTAGAAAGAGTGGGTTATTTTCCCATTTGTCAGCCTTATCAGGCTAAATTGCCTCTAAAAGTTTGAAATGACACTTCAATTAACTTTATGGACTTTGGTAGAAATGTTTATCCCATTTTCTAATTTAAGGAAAAAGTAAAAGTTACTCAGCTGTATGAGCTGATATAGGTTCAATCATAGGACAAGGTATTTTAATGCAAAATAAAATGCATTAATGAAAATGACTGTTCTTAAGATTTCAGTGTAAAATCCAAGGAAGAAACGCGCACCCTAAGGCCACGGGGCACACTAACATATTTAAGAAAGCTGGTGACAGGCGGACAATAAGATTTGCTTAAACTGTCATGAAACTCCACTTACAGGCGCTCGGCACTCCTCGGTATTCCTTTCGGCACGGTCTTCAAACCGAGACCCTGGCAGTCCACATGCGACCCGGAGCAGCTGCACTTGTGTGGGCATCCAGTCACCGAAGCGGCGCACACCAGCAGCGCCAAAACCAGAGCCCAAACCCGGCATAGCGGAGCCCGCTTCTCCGGCCCCATCGGAGGCATGATATCCACTGAAATTACTTCCAAACCGAGGTTAATTGAAAATCCGCGGGGTGGGAAGTAGACGTTGTGGAAGTAAGGATCCCGAAAAAGGTCAAGAGAGGTCGTTCGACTATGTGGTATAATTAAAAAAAAAAAAAAAAAAAAAAAAGAAGTGATGGGAACCGAAATTAATCGCTGCGCAGAAGTTCTCCGAAGTTTCTCTCAAGAGACTCGATCAGTCAGAATCTCCTTAAAACGCTCCCTTGCCATTGAAGAAAAAAAGGGCAGAGAATGAGGACCTGGAAGTGACACTTGTAAAGAAAAAAGTTTTTAAAACATCTCGCAGCGCGTCACTCAACTCGATGCGTAAAAAAAAAGTCTCCTCGCGGAACGCTGCCCATTCACAAACTCTCCGAGAAGAAGTTATCAGCCTGACTCCTAAACTCTCCAAGGTGAAAATGTTGAGCTGGGGTGTAACCTCCTTCCAGGGAACATCCCCTCGGCTGCCAGGGAGTAAAAAAGTGAGAGTTGCAGAGGAGTTGTAGCCTAATCAGTGGTGGTGGTGGTGGTGGAGGTGGAGGGGGGGATAAGTTGAGAGAGCAGAGGCGCAGTGAGACTGGTAGCCTTACGCCTGGAGAGAGGTACACAGATTTGTACTTAGGTTTCCCCCAAAATGCGCTCTCTCCCTCTCCCTCTCTCTCCCTCTCTCTCTCTCTAGGTTGATGTCACCAGAACAGAGAGTGAGAGACTCGGGATACTTTTCCTCACGCATGCGAATAAAACTCCAAACTCTACCAAACACCGTGGCAGCAGACGGTGCGCTTTTTTTTTAAATCTCATTTCCCAGCAACTCGTTCTTTTTTTCATCGCGGGCCCTGTACATCATCTTTACGATTTACTTTGTGATCATTTAGTTGGTTTTGAGCCACGTCATTTATGAGCCATCTCGCCAAATACGCCAATGCATCATCCTTGAGGAGTCTATATGTGTCAACTTCATTGATTCATGCGGGGCTGATAATCAGAGTTTGAGAGAAATGTCTCGTTCAACTTAATGTGTCGTTTATTGTGTTGGAAAATACCACAATGAGTTGAAACAACACCAACACTTGGATTAAATGAATAGATTGAGTTGGATTGATAAAAGCAAATATTTTATTTGATGATAAGATGATATGACCACTCCCAAATATTTGACATAAACTTGGATTTGAGTTTCCACATAATTTGGTAGTGAGCACTGTTAAAGTTCACTCCACTGGTTTCCACACACATTTGTTGAGTGCAGCAGTAAGAAGTGAGAAGAGACTTTTTTTCAGTGCGGGTCCGCTCTCTAAAGTGTGGGTGCCTCTCTGCTGCCCTCTACTGGTAGAAGGGGAAACTTTCATGAACTAATTGTGAACTAGTGGCCTTCAGTTTGCAGTTACAGCAATAACTTTTTTTTTTACTTCTCATTAAACCAGTGTCCTCCGAATTAATTCAATTCATTTGGGAGATTTTTGCTGCAAATGTCAAAACATTTGAAAAGAGTTTCTCTCGGCAGTGTTTTGGTCGATAATTAACAGTCGAAAGTTCATAAATATTGCAAAGCCTGGAATACAAGCTGAGTAATTTAGTGTCTCATTCTGGGAATTGAGCTAATTAAAACATCAGTTTTCCTGTCAGTGGAAACCCCACCAGAGACCAAACTTTGGGCCAGTTTTATATGTCATCATGTTTGAAGTAGATACTCTTGAAAACAAATGAATTGTGAAGTAAGAGAGAAATTCTCCTAAGAATAACTCTTCTCATGCCTGCTGAGCATGTACTCATTTTCAGGTGCCGCTCGAACACTCAATTATGGCATATTCATACCCGAGAGTTGCCAGTCTTCTGGTGTTGGTGTCCGCGCAGCCGATTCAGTTTTTGTTGTTCAGTGGATATATATACATATATACATATATACATATATATACATACACATATATGTGTCATATATACATATACAGTGGGTACGGAAAGTATTCAGACCCCTTTAAATTTTTCACTCTTTGTTTCATTGCAGCCATTTGCTAAAATCAAAAAAGTTCATTTTATTTCTCATTAATGTACACTCAGCACCCCATCTTGACAGAAAAACAGAAATGTAGAAATTTTTGCAAAACCAGTCAAGAATGGTCACAGAGTTGTTCCGAAGCCACTCCTTTGTTATTTTAGCTGTGTGCTTAGGGTCATTGTCTTGTTGGAAGGTGAACCTTCAGCCCAGTCTGAGGTCCAGAGCACTCTGGAAGAGGTTTTCTTCCAGGATATCTCTGTACTTGGCCGCATTCATCTTTCCTTCAATTGCAACCAGTCGTCCTGTCCCTGCAGCTGAGAAACACCCCCATAGCATGATGCTGCCACCACCATGTTTCACTGTTGGGATTCTATTGGGCAGGTGATGAGCAGTGCCTGGTTTTCTCCACACATACTGCTTAGAATTAACGCCAAAAAGTTCAATCTTGGTCTCATCAGACCAGAGAATCTTATTTCTCATAGTCTGGGAGTCCTTCATGTGTTTTTTGGCAAACTCTATGCGGGCTTTCATATGTCTTGCACTGAGGAGAGGCTTCCGTCGGGCCACTCTGCCATAAAGCCCCGACTGGTGGAGGGCTGCAGTGATAGTTGACTTTGTGGAACTTTCTCCCATCTCCCTACTGCATCTCTGGAGCTCAGCCACAGTGATCTTTGGGTTCTTCTTTACCTCTCTCACCAAGGCTCTTCTTCCACGATTGCTCAGTTTGGCTGGACGGCCAGGTCTAGGAAGAGTTCTGGTCGTCCCAAACTTCTTCCATTTAAGGATTATGGAGGCCACTGTGCTCTTAGGAACCTTGAGTGCTGCAGAAATTCTTTTGTAACCTTGGCCAGATCTGTGCCTTGCCACAATTCTGTCTCTGCGCTCCTTGGGCAGTTCCTTTGACCTCATGATTCTCATTTGCTCTGACATGCACTGTGAGCTGTAAGGTCTTATATAGACAGGTGTGTGCCTTTCCTAATCAAGTCCAATCAGTTTAATTAAACACAGCTGGACTCCAATGAAGGAGTAGAACCATCTCAAGGAGGATCAGAAGAAATGGACAGCATGTGAAATATGAGTGTCACAGCAAAGGGTCTGAATACTTTTGACCATGTGATATTTCAGTTTTTCTTTTTTAATAAATTTGCAAAAATTTCTACATTTCTGTTTTTTTCTGTCAAGATGGGGTGCTGAGTGTACATTAATGAGAAATAAAATGAACTTTTTTGATTTTAGCAAATGGCTGCAATGAAACAAAGAGTGAAAAATTTAAAGGGGTCTGAATACTTTCCGTACCCACTGTATATATGTCATATATATATATGTATATATATATATGTGTCATATATATATGTGTCATATGTATACATATATGTGTCATATATATATACTGTATATATGTGTCATATATATATATAGATATAGATATCTATATATCGATATCTATATATATATATATATACACACATATATATATATATACACACACACTCGTATACATATATACACTCGTGTATATATATATACACTCGTGTATATATATATATACACTCGTGTGTATATATATATATATGTGTCACTCGTATATATATACATGGTTGTATATATATACACACTCGTGTATATACACACATATATATACACACTCGTGTATATACACACATATATATATACACACTCGTGTATATACACACATATATATATACACTCGTGTATATACACACATATATATATATACACTCGTGTATATACACACATATATATATACACACGTGTACATACACACACACATATACACACTTGTGTACATACACATATATATATACACTTGTATACATACACATATATATATACACACACACACACACACATATATATATACACACACACACACACACA